GCCTTCCAAGTAGCTGGGACCACAGGTGCCCGCCACAACGCCCGGCTATTTTTTGGTTGCCGCCATCATTGTTGTTTGGCGGGTCCAGGCTGGATTTGAACCCGCCACCTTAGGTGTATGTGGCTGGCGCCTAGCCACTTGAGCCACAGGTGCCGAGCAGTGCTTACACGATTCTCTTGCCTCAGAATCCCAAGTAGCTGGGACTACAGGCACCTGCCCAGCTATTTTTAGAGGCAGCGTCTTTGTCTGGCTCAGGCTGATCTTGAACCTATGAGCTCAGGCAATCCACCCACGTTAGCTTCCCAGAGTGCTAGGATTACAGGCGGGAGCCATGGCACTCAGCTTAAAGGATTTCTTTTTTGAAACAGTCGTACTCTGTTGCCCAGGCTAGAGACCCGTGGAGTCAGCCTAACTCACAGCAACCTCAAATTCTTAGGTTTAAGCCATCCTCCTGCCTCAGCCTCCGGAATAACTCTGACTTACAAGCATGTGCCACCACACCCATTTAATTTTTTCTATTTCTTGTAAGTCAGAGTCTTCCTCTTGCTTTTGCTCAGGCTGGTCTTGAACTCTGAGTTCAAAGAATCCTCCCACCTAGGACTCCCAAAGAGCTAGAATTATGGGTGTGAGCCACCCGGCTGGACCTTAATGAAAATAATTTTGACTATTGGCCACTTAGGGCATGTTGCAGCTCCAGACTGTTGCCCCTCCACCTGGCCTGACATTGAGCTCCCCGGCCTGGTACACAGGATCTGCCGCCTTCCTCAGTCCTCAGATCAGTTACTCTGTCTCAAAATCCATGAGATCTGTTCTGTTGTCTCCGTCTTCTTCACCAGTTGCTGGAAGGCAGCAAGTGCAGTAGGCTTAAAACATACTCTTTCTTGTTCTCACCCATCTGCCTAGAGACTGTGGAGTCTTTGGGTCTTCCTTTTGTCCTCTGTATCACATGAGTTGTGCCCATAAAATACTTATTGCCAACTAATTCATTCACCTGCTCTTTTTTTTTTTTTTTTTTTTGAGACAGAGCCTCAAGCTGTCCCCCTGAGTAGAGTGCTGTAGCATCACAGCTCACAGCAACCTCCAACTCCTGGGCTCAAGCGAATCTCCTGCCTCAGCCTCCCAAGTAGCTGGGACTACAGGCGCCCACCACAACGCCTGGCTAATTTTTGGATGCAGCCATCATTGTTGTTTGGTGGGCCCGGGCTGGATTCGAACCCTCCACCTTAGGTGTATGTGGCTGGCGCCTCTTACCTGCTCTTTTTAACCAATTTCTTCCTTGCTTCCTAGGTGCATTGAAGAAGAGTCTCACAGCAGAGCAGGTCCGTGCGGATCTTATAACCCTGGGTAGGTCATTGGCCAAGGTTGCTCAGGGTGACCAGGCTCTGTGGCTTTTTATTATGCTAACATCTCCTTCTGTTCTCTTGTAGGTCTTAGTGAGGAAAAAGCCACTTACTTTTCTCAAAAGGTATCATTCTTCTTAATGAAGGTTAATTAAGATCTTTTGCTTTTATTTTGTGAAGTGAAAAAGGGAAGAAATGCCAACTAAGGCAAAACCATCAATCACAGGTGTCATTTCCCCTACTTAAAGTTTATATTCAGCTTCATACCAGTAACATACATACAGCTTTTAACCAGCACTATTTAGCGCATCTCTCAATTTTTTTTCTCCGATTTGACTGAATTAAATATTATTCAATTTTTTCTTCCAACATAGATTAACTCTTATCATGAAAGAAAACATTTATATTGTCATCTCCTGCTCTATACTCCCCCCATCCTCAGATATGTGTGTGTAGGCTGGGCCCTTCTTCCACTGTCCGTATCAATATTAACTAACCATGGGTGTGTTTGGGGCAGAATGGGGAGGGGGAGAATTTTCCCATTATTATGACTTTGCCTTTTTGCTTTTGTTCCAGTGGAAACAGAATGCCCCCACCCTTGCCCGATGGGCCATAGGTCAGACTCTGATGATTAACCAGCTCATAGACATGGAGTGGAAATTTGGAGGTAACTGGGTAGAGCCCGTTTCCAGTCCTTTGCATGAGGTGGGCTGGGTTGCAGAGGCTTTAGTCTGTCTAGTCTCACTGGGGAGGACATGGCCATAATGCTTGAGCACTGCTGGGCCAGCTGCTGCCTTTGTTTATTGTCTACGTTCAACAGCTGTTTCCAGCCCTGACTCACTAGGTTGACTTCCTGAGGAGCACACCTTGCTGCCTCAAACTTGCCCCCACACAGCTTCTGCTGGACACCCTGAAAAAGTGGGGTCTTCAAGGTTAGTCCTCAACCAGACACTTGTTATTTTTCTCTTTCATATCACAGTGACATCTGGGAGCAGTGAATTGGAGAAAGTGGGAAGTATATTTTTACAAGTAAGTCTTCTCCGAATCCTTGAAAATGAGTAGATTTTTTACTTGGTTAAAAATTATTATTATTTGGCTCGGTGCCCATGGCTCAAGCGGCTAAGGCACCAGCCACATACACCTAAGCTGGCAGGTTCGAATCCAGCCCAGGCCCACCAAACAATAACAACTACTACAACCAAAAAATAGCTGGGCATTGTGGCGGGTGCCTGTAGTCCCAGCTACTTGGGAAGCAGAGGCAGGAGAATCGTTTGAGCCCAGGAGTTGGAGGTTGCTGTGAGCTGTGATGCTACGGCACTCTACCCAGGGGGACAGCTTGAGTCTCTGTCTCAATAAAAGAAAAAAATTATTAAATATATAATACTAAATTGAAACTAACCAGTCAACACTTATTTTCCATACATACGGAAATCAAGCAGGTAGGAGGGGGAGGAGGAGATAGGTGTATTCATACCTAATAGGTTCAATGCACATTATATGGACAAAGGGCACACTTACAACTCTGACTCAAATGACACGAAAAGATTATATATAAAAGAAGTATTAACTCTACATTGGGTTTCTTTAAATATTCATTTAAGCAGATGCTTTCATTGAAGTGCCTTGTGTATCTCAGAGCAATATGGTCAGCCAGAGATGTGGTCACTGACACACCTACTTCCAGATTAATAGATTCTAATATTATTCGTTAAAGTTTGTTCCTGGCTTGGTGCCTGTGGCTCAAGTGGCTAAGGCACCAGCCACATACACCTAAGGTGGCAGGTTTGAATCCAGCCCAGGCCCACCAAACAACAATGAAGGCTGCAACCAAAAAAAAAAAAAAAATAGCCTGGCGTTGTGGCAGTCGCCTGTGGTCCCAGCTACTTGAGAGGCGGAGGCAGGAGACTCGCTTGAGCCCAGGAGTTGGAGGTTGCTGTGAGCTATGATGCCACAGCACTCTACCCAGGGAGGAGAGCTTGAGGCTCTATCTCAAAAAAAAAAAAAAAGTTTGTTCCTGTAATCATGGGAATTGTTAGAACTTTGGTGGTGGATAATCCACATGCTCACGTATAACTCTTAAGAAGGTAGATGCTTTGATGTTTAATTAGATGAAAGCGTTTTAAGAATTTTTCCCCAATGGTCATCACTTTAAATTATTTATTTCTTTTTTTTAATCAGTTAAAGTTGGTGGTAAAGAAAGGAAATCAAACTGAAAATTTATATATAGGTGAGTCTGAATTCCCATTTGAGCCTTTTCACTTTTCCCATGACCTCTTCAGTCAGTGGGCTTGAGGAGCCTGCCACAAATCATCTCTTCCAGAATAACAGTCATAAGCAAGCTGTGGAGTATCAGTCCACTGCCTTTCCTCTAGTAACAGATGGTACAAGAAGCATTAACAAGCCCTTGGCAGGTTAGAAACTCCACAGTTGAGCCTCATTGCCAAAGGGAGGGGGGAAGGAATGGCTGGGATGGAAGACCAAGAAGCTCTTGCTATAGTAGTAACACTGAACGTCTTGAATGATGTCCTTTCTTCTCTCCGTGCTGTGGAGTTAGGCCATTTCGACATTACTCCCTATCTTTTTTCCCCCATGGAGCTGAGAACCTTCTGTGTTCCAAGGTTCTCAGTTCTTTATTCTGATCCATTACCCATGAAGAGCTGCTTAGAGGTACTAAGGCTAAAAAAGAAGAAAAAAAAATCTCTAGGTCAAAATTAATTTTCTTGTGTGATTTCGTGGAGTTGGAAACATTTCCCTGAAGCTGAATTTTCTCTTCCCAGAATTAACCTTGCCTCAGTTCTACAGCTTCCTGCACGAGATGGAGAGAGTCAGAACCAGCATGGAGTGTTTCAGCTGACTGCTGTGCCCTGCGTCTCCCTCTGCCCACTTCGCCTTCCTCCTCCCCTCCAAGGGAGGGCCGCTCTGGGAGACATCTCACTCACGGGTTTGTGGGGCTCTCCTTTAGGCCCTGCTTGCTTCTTGAGAGCCCAGGTTTCTGAATAACAAGAGGATTAAATACAGAGTCCTACACCCTACACGGTTACCCTGTGAACTTTTTATTCAGGCAGTCACTCCCACCTACCTGCCTTCCAGAACATGTTTTTTTAGACAGTCTGACAAGCTATTGCATCTTAGATTCAGCAGTCACCTCCCCATCAAAGTTCCATAGTAAACAAATGGTGTCATCACTCAAGATAACACATAGATCACCTTCCTCCATAAAAAGCAAGAGCTCATTTATGACTGAGGAAGAGGCGGGTTGTATGAATGACACATGTAAAGGGCCCCCAGGGATTCCCACACTGACAGATTTGTGCTGCATTGCTAGTGAGTTAGTGATGGCAATGATGCACCTGTGTGCAAATATGTGATTGCTTTTCTCAGAAAAGAACTCAGGCTAAACCCTGTCCCCACTTTTGGGGACAGGTTTTGCCCTGATGTGTTGTTATGAGATGGGCCTTTTGGCTTCAAACTGACCACCTCTGCTGGTTAGATGATGAATAAAAAGGATTGCAAAAGAAAAGCTGGTTGTCTTTCTGCATGGATTAGAGAGTCATGTGCCTTGCAGAGAGCTAGTACACTTACCTTCAAAAATTGTCTTCCTAGCTCGGCACCTGTGGCTCAAGCGGCTAAGGTGCCAGCCACATACACCTAAGGTGGCAGGTTTGAATCCAGCCCAGGCCCGCCAAGCAACAATGATGGCTGCAACCAAAAAATAGCCAGGTATTGTGGCCAGCACCGATGATCCCAGCTACTTGGGAGGCTGAGGCAGGAGACTCGCTTGAGCCCAGGAGTTGGAGGTTGCTATGAGCTGTGATGTCACGGCACTCTGCCCAGGGTGACAGCTTGAGGCTCTGTCTCAAAAAAAATAAATAAATAAATAAAATTGTCTTATTGGGCTCAGTGCCTGTAGCACAGTGGTTATGGTGCCAGCCACATACATCAAGGCTGGCAGGTTCGAACCTGTCCCAGGCCAACTAAACAACAATGACAATTGCAACAAAAAATAGCTGGGCTTTGTGGCGAGTGCCTGTGGTCCCAGCTACTTGGGAGGATGAGGCAAGAGAATCGCTTAAGCCCAAAGGTTAGAGGGTTGCTGTGAGCTGTGATGCCACAGCACTCTTATCAAGGGCAACATAGTGAGACTGTCTCAAAAAAAAAAAAATGTCTTCCTGGATTTGGTGAAGGCCTAGGTCTTCAGTGTGATTAGCAGTGGTCCAAATTTGGAATTTGTTTTTGTTTTTTTGAGACAGAGTCTCAAGCTGTCACCCGGGGTAGAGTGCTATGGCATCATAGCTCACAGCAAACTCCAACTCTTGTGCTCAAGTGATCCTCTTGCCTCAGTTTTTCTATTTTATTTTATTTTCATTTTTTTTCTCCAACTCCTGGGCTTAAGTGATTCTCTTGACTCAGCCTATCAGGTAGCTGAGACTACAGGTGCCCACCATAACGCCCAGCTATTTTTTTTTTTTTTTGGTTGTAGTTGTCATTGTCATTTGGCAGGCCCAGGCTGGATTCAAACCCACCAGCTCTGGTGTATATGATATGACTGGTGCCTTAGCCACTTGAGCTACAGGTGCCAAGCCAGCTTTTCTATTTTAGTGGAGAAGGGGTCTCATCCTTGCTCAGGCTAGTCTTGAACTCCTGAGCTCAAGCAATCCACCCGCCTCGGCCTCCAGAGTGTTAAGATTACAGGCATAAGCCACCTTACCTGGCCCAAATTTGGAATTTGTAAGAGAAGTTCGGGGGAAACTCAGGTTAAAAGCAGAGGGAAAGGCTTGGTGCCTGTGGCTCAAGTGGCTAAGGTGCCAGCCATATACACATGAGCTGGCGGGTTTGAATCCAGCCTGGACCCGCCAAACAACAGTGACGACTACAACCCCAAAATAGCCAAGCACTGTGGCAGGCCCCTATAATCCCAGCTACTTGGGAGGTAGAGGCAGGAGAATCACTTGAGCCCAGGAGTTGGAGGTGATTGTGAGCCGTGATGCCACGGCACTCTACCCAGGGCAATAGCTTGAGGCTCTATCTCTTTTTTTTTTTGAGACAGGAGCCTCAAGCTGTCCCCCTGGGTAGAGTGCCGTGGCATCTCAGCTCACAGCAATCTCCAACTCCTGGGCTCAAGCGAGTCTCCTGCCTCTACTTCCCAAATAGCTGGGAGAATACAGACTCCCGCCACAACGCCTGGCTATTTTTTGGTTGCAGCCATTATTGTCGTTTGGCAGGCCCAGGCTGGATTCGAACCCGCCACCTTGGGTGTACATGGCTGGTGCCTTAGCCACTTGAGCCACAGGCACCGAGCCTTGAGGCTCTATCTCAAAAAAAAAAAAACGTGGGGAAAACAAGCACATAAAGTTTTTTTTTTTGTTTGGTTTTTCAGTTTTTGGCCGAGGCTAGGTTTGAGCCCACCACCTCTGGCATATGGGCCTGGCACCCTACTCCTTTGAGCCGCAGGTGCTGCCCCACATATAAAGTTTTGAATGGATAATATGTACCCATGATTCAAAATACAGTGTAAAGGCCGGGTGTGGTGGCTCACGCCTATAATAGCAGCACTTTGGGAGGCCGAGGTGGGTAGATTGCCTGAGCTCACAAGTTTGAGACCAACCTGAGTTAGAGCAAGACCCCATCTCTAAAAACAGTCAGGCCTTGTGGTCCTTATAGTCCCAGCTGCTAAGGAGGCTGAAGCAAGAGAATCACTTAAACCCAAGAGTTGGAGGTTGCTGTGAGCTATGACACTACAGCCCTCTACTGTGGGCAACAAAGTGAGACTGTCTCAAAAAAGAAAAAATACAGTGGAAAGTAATTTCCCTACCCGCCCCAGTTACCTAGTTCTCCCCAGTGGCAACTGTTATATTTTAATTTATTCTGTGTTCTAGAGATGTTTCCTGTATCTGCAAATATATGTGCATTGAGTTCAACTTTTCTTCGTTCACAAATGGTGGTATACTGCACAACCATCCTGTACTCTGCATGTATCCACTTAACTAATATGGAAATCTGTCCATACCAGAGCAGAGAGAGCTGCCTCATTCTTGGTAACAAAATCACTACATTTCTCCAAATGGATGATTTATTTAAGTTATGGAATTTAGGCTGGGCGCCTATGGCTCAAGTGGCTAAGGCGCCAGCCATATAAACCTAAGGTAGTGGGTTCGAATCCAGCCTGGGCCCACCAAAACAACAATGACAGCTGCAACCAAAAAAATAGCCGGGCGTTGTGGCGGGCGCCTGTGGTCCCAGCTACCTGGGAAGTGGAAGCAGGAGACTCACTTGAGCCCAGGAGTTGGAGGTTGCTGTGAGCTGTGATGCCATAGCACTCTACCCAGGGGGACTGCTTGAGGCTCTG